ATTAATGGACGTTGGGCCTTTGTCAAATATTAGCTGCTCATAGGTGGATGAATTTATGTCTGGATTCTCAATTCTGTTCCATTGGTCTATGTATCTCTTGTTGTACCAGTACCAGGCTGTTTTGACTACCCTAGGCGGTATAATATGTTCTAAAATCAGGTAGTGTGAAGCCTCCCACTTTGTTCTTGAGTAATGCTTTACTTATTCGGGGCCTCTTCCCTTTCCATATGAAGTTGGCGATTTGTTTCTCCATCTCATTAAAAAATGCTGGTGGAATTTGGATCGGGGTTGCATTTTATCTGTAAATTGCTTTGGGTAGAATTGACATTTTCACAGTGTTGAGTCTGCCTATCCACGAGCAAGGTATGTTTTTCCACTTAATGCAGGTCTCTTTTGGTTTCTTGAAGTAGTGTCTTGTAGTTTTCACTATATAGATGTTTTACGTCTCTGGTTAGATTTATTCCTAAGTATTTTATCTTCTCGGGGGCTATTGTAAACGGTATTGATTTGGTGATTTTCTTTGATGGTGTAAAGGAATCCAACTGATTTTTGTATGTTTACCTTGTATCCTGAAACTTTGCTGAAATCTTCTATTAGTTCCAGTAGTTTTCTTATGGATTCTTTGGGGTTTTCTGTGTATAAGATCATATCATCTGCAGATAGAGATACTTTGAGTTCTTCCCTACCAATCTGGATGCCCTTTATTTCTTTTTCTAGCCTAATTGCTCTGGCTAGAACCTCCAGCACAGTGTTGAATAAGAGTGATGATAAGGGGCATCCTTATCTGGTTCTTGTTCTCAAGGAGAATGGTTTCAAAGTCTCTCCATTTAGGATGATGTTGGTTGTTGGCTTTGTATAAATGCCCTTAATTATATTGAGGAATTTCCCTTCTATTCCTGTTCTGTTGAGAGTTTTTTATCACGAATGGGCCTTGTCCTTTGTCAAATGCCTTTTCTGCATTGATTGATAAGATCATGTGGTTCTTGTCTTTTATTTATGTGATGGATTACATTGATCGTTTTTCTAATGTTGAACCATTCTGCATACCTGGTATATAAATCCCACTTGATCGTGATGAATTATTTTGTTGATATGTCGCTGAATTCTGTTGGCTAGAATTTTGTTGAGGATTTTTGCATCAATGTTCGTGAGGGATGTTGGTCTGTAATTTTCTTTTCTTGTGGTGTCTTTACCTGTGTAGTTTAATTCTTTACTTACATTGGTGTTGTTCACACTGAAACCAGCCAGACATTTTTCTTTTATCCACTAGATGGGAGTATTGTTTTATTTGAATATTTCAAAATGATATAGTTATATTTTTTAAAAGCTATGGATATCAACAGATTGTATTAATATGGCAAAGTGTAGTTAAATTCGGTGCAGTTTTTTTTTTTTTTTATGATATCTGAAAGGTGTTGACCTGTTGGTGAGTGTTAGTATGTGGAAAGTTTCTGAATCTTCTATTTCATCACTTTCCAGTAATATCTTCCCCCTGAATTTTTCAGGGCTCTTCTATCAGGTTAACTGTATTTAATATCACCAAGTACAATAGTAGAGTGTTACCATTAGGAATGTGAATTAAATCATGAACCCAGAGTAACCACACTGCTTCACAAAACCACAAACTAAATGGGTTAGTGAAAATAGTGTTACAATATTGGAGTTGAGAAATGCTTCTTAACTCTTTTCTACTTTCTTTTTCCTCCTTTTCTGTTATTGTCACTTATATACAATAGTATTAAACAACTTACCTATGTCTGTTTTCTAGATTCAGTTCATTTAATGTTTTTGGTAGTGGTTGGAGATGGCATGTGGAGATGGACTGTTGTCTAACTCCTTGAGGAAACTTGGTTTTCTTTGTCATAATTAAATTTTGGAAGCTTTGTGCAAGGTACATTTATGGAAGTACCCTGATGATAGAAATTGAAGCATCTTCCTTGTTGTGTAAAAGTGTGCGTCCATTCAGAAATGTGTTTGTAGAACCCTGAGGTGAACCTTGTGAGGCCTGGGATCTGATCCCAGCTGAGCAAGCTGTAGCTGTGCAGAGAGTTAGCGTGATGAACGAGGAAGAGTCATCTTGCCAAGGAACAGACTGTTCAAATCTCAGCTTAGCTCCTTGCAGGCCAGGTGACCTTGGCAGATGGTCGAAAGCTCTCTGAGCGTCAGTTTCCTCATTTTTAAAGAGCACGTAATACGGGAGACAGCACTTTACTCACTAGATGCTTCTTGAAATTTAATGAATGAATGTAAGCGTGCAATAAATGTTCCTCCTCTCCGCTTTCCTTGGGTTTCGGTTTTTTATCTGCTTCTCGTTGTTAGGTGCAGTCAAGTAGTTTCCGACTCAAAGCGACCCTGTAGGACAGAGTAGAACTGCCCCATAGGGTTTCCAAGGAGCGACTGGTGGATTCAGATCGCCGACCTTCTGGTTAGCAGTCGAGCTGTTAACCACTGCGCCACAAGGACTCCTTCATCTGCTTAGTGGGGAAGATTCTCTGTGCTTACCTGATGGGTTCGTTGTGGGATGAACACTATTCGAACGCTTTCTAAGAACTGTTGCGTGATAGTCCTGTGCACACACTTTCAGGTGGGCTGTCTCAAGGACAGACCTTGTGCCGCAGCCGGGGAAAAGCTGCAGCAGCTGTTTTCTGGAGCAGCCGAAGCTGTCTCACTCTCCATTCCTTCTCACTTCTCTCTCACGACTTCTAGAGCCAGTGTTCTCAGCAGTGCAAACAGGCTCGGGGTGGGAGTGGTGAGGGAGGATCCTGGAAAGCCGTGCAAGCCGATAATGCTGGGAATTGTAGTTCAGTTAATTTTGGAAAGAGAATCACAGATTGCTTCAGACTAGCTGGGAAGAAACCTCTTCTTACAGTAAGAAGCTGGTGGCAGGTGCAGAGGGCTGACACTGGCTCAGCAGAGCCGCATCTGAAAGCAGAATAGACAGGAAGGCTGTATGCCTTTCAGCAGCCCTCAGTTTTAGGTGTGGGAGTGTGGGGTGGGGAGAGAGAAGAGGGCTTAGAGCTGCTGGATTATGAAGAGAGCTCCGGAGAACTCACCCACCCATTTTAAGGGCAATCAATCATGAAGCTTCGACAGAGGTTCCACATTCAGAGGGGAGAAGCTGAATAAACAACAGATACAACATGGGACCTGTGGTGAGACCTGGTAAATGAAGGAAGGAAGACAGCATTAAACATACGGAAGAGCATTCTATTTGAAAAAGGTTTACTATCAGCAACAAGTAGAAAGCAGCTGTTTTTGAACATTCGGGAACTGGCTTTTCTAAAAGGTAAATAATGAGAATATATGAGAGAAACTAGCTGAAAGGAAAATTTAAAAGCTACATAAAAGATTTTGAAAGCACAAAAAATTAACTTTAGAATTACTGTTAGCATTGTAAAGTAGCAAAGAGTAAAACAAATCTTATGTAATTGTACACACACATATTCACACACACCCACACACACACACACACACCCACACCCACACACACACATATAGCAGCATATAATATAAAGCTGTTACATGGAGGACGAGCTTGAGATGGTGTCCTAAGATGCAGAAGGACAGAAATGGAAAGATAACAAGGTTCAGAGAAAAGACGAATATATATCCTACATGTAGGTAACTGAGTTTCCTGCAGAAGGGACCAGATCATAAACGGTAATTAAAGGCAAAGAACAGATTCTTCCTAACTGAAAAAAGACTTGAGTCTGTAAATTAAATGTGTCCATCAGTTGGGAGAGTGAAAAGACATAAAAAGCTAGACGTATTGAATCAAAGAAATCATTGTGTAAGTACCCAGGCAGATCAAAACAAAATGATTTATCTTATTCATTACCTATTGCTGCCTAACTAACATACTTAAACTTGGTTTAAAACAACCACCATTTATTTCTCATAAGTCTATAGGTTGGATGGGTGTTACTGCTGGTGTGGGCCACACACAGCTGATCTTGGCCCCTACATCTTTGGTTATGTGTCTGAGATGAGCTGCTGGGGCCTGGCTGGTCAA